AAAAAAGATCACTGGGATATTTTTTAGTGTTTACAAATAACTACTGGATATTTTCATAATCTTGCTCTCAGGCTTCTCAGTCAGTCTGACTAAAAATTTCAAGGAAATTCAACCCTGGGCAGGGAATATTTTCAACCAAGCTTAAGACAAGGCAATTTAAAATGAATTTTATAAAATAAAACAATTTTAAATTCATAATTTAATTTTTAATACTAGTGTGTGTAATTATAGGAATATGTATTTTCAAATAGTTAAGTGTTGATTGATTGCTGGATCAAGTCTTCAAATTTACTTTTAAAACATGGGATTGAAACAGTTTGAAAAGGACAAAAGAATGTTTAATTTTATAAGGAGGAAAATTTACAACTCAAGAGTGTTAACAGTTGTTACTAAATGCAGAATATCAGTACTACTGGTTTAGATTTTCTTAATGTAATTTAAAAAAAATTCTCTATATCCTCTTTTTATTTTTTCTACAAAACAATCTGTGTCCATCAGAGATTAAAAAACTACTTAGAACTTTATTTTGCTCTTTATTTTCCAAAGTGTTTTTACATCCTGATATACCTTTTATTGCAAGAGTAATTTGGTTTGCAATTAAAACATAAATATATAATACAATCTACAATGAGAAGCTTAGGACTCCGAGGAAGGATTTTAAGCTACATGATTTCTTATTCCAGACTCTTCCTTGGTTGGCCTTGTAGGCATAGTAGGCAGATAATACTCTGTGTGCCTTCCTCAAATCTTAGTTATTTTGTCACGTTATGCTCTTTTGTGTCTGGCAGACCAAGGGTATCTGAATGAATGCAAGGTAGCTGCAACTGAAAATTAATAAAAACTTTATTTTTACGTAATGGGGAGTATTTTTTAACAGTTATATTCAATAGTCATCTAAGGTCTATGCATTTGTTGTACAGAAATAATTCATGATTTTGAGACTATGAAATCCTGGCATTTAAGGTATTAATGTATGAAGCATTAATTTTGAAATAAGATAGTGATAATTATAATGGAAGATCACTTATATTTTGTCGATGGTTTAAACATAAAACTGAACTAAAATACCTATTCCCTATGCTGTAGCTTCTGAGATACTCAGAGCTCCAAACATTATTTCCCCATCTGCAAAACCTTTAGTGCCTCTCTGTTGGCTACTATAATGTAGGTAAGCTGTTTCAAGATTAAATCCTACAATTCATATTTCAAAACTAAGTAGAGGAAATAGGTGAGGAATAAAAGAATGGATTAAATATGTAACATATCATGGCTGTCATGTTGATGATATTAATAATTTTGAAGTGACATTTAAAAAGAATCTGCATTTTTGTTAGCACAATTTTACTAAGCAGCTTTTCAAAAGAACTAATGGCTTTGGCACAGTTATTAAGCTGAATGTTATTTGGCCCCACTTGCATGCAGGTTTTGGTTACACCGCATGAAGCATGCCTTGATTTTCAGCATATTCATTTGAAAAAGAAAAAGCCAAGAAGCTGGTTTTCCTTGCACAGCAACATACTTCAAGTGCCCTGTTTTTCTCCTATGATGACTATCTTCCTTGGTGGAAGTTGCTAAGGTCTATGGAGATTATCTTGACAGTATTTGATCCCTCAGCTCAATCTCACAGCTACCAGGGAGTTTCAAATGTGGGACATCTATCAACTTTCTGCTCCTGAGACTATGAATAAATAAAGTAAATGAAACAGAAACTCTACTTGTAGTGTAATATTCACTAATTTATTTTTTTTAGCTAATAGATGATGGTATCACTTCAGACCAATAAGTATTTGAAATTTGGCGTATTTCTGCAGAATTCATACATGAGCTGTGCAGTGGTTCCTGTTGCTTCCATTGCACATATTCCATCCAGGAACTACTTCAATATTTTACCCAATTACTACTTAAAACAGAATGTATAAGCAGTCATTACAGCAGAGATCAGAGCTCAGCACTTCCATCTCCCCAGAGAAAGCATTGTGTGTTTTCTGATGTGTAGCGCTACTCTTCCTCTTCCTCTTTTCCCATTCTACACCTAGGAATCTTGAACTTCATTTTTTTTAAACATGTACCACAACCAGGAGGTTGTTGCTGAATAATCTCCAGAGTGGCTGCTGGGAGATGAGGGTCTGAGCCTAGGTTTCAAGCTTCTTACGACAATAAGGAAAAGACAAACAGCCGCTTTGCTTTTCTTAGAGTTCAAAAGAAACTAGTGCTCTCTGCTGTTATGAAAGGATGACTGAGGAGCACTTTCAGAAGGTTTGGGGATGCCTTATGTCCCTGAAGAATGAGATGTTGCATCATGCTGAGTGACCAAGTTTTTCTCACTACTTGGTTCTACCAAAAGCTGTTTTGCATCACATCACTTTTAGATATGTAAGTAGGTGGTTATCCAGTAAACATAGTTTGATGTTACAAAACTGTATTGTAATGCCTAAGTGCATAAATGGATCTAACCCTTTTATACACTTGGAATTTCACGTTCTCAAATAACCTATTTCTTCCATGAAAGTTGCATCCATAAGATCATTTTCAAAGTGGGGGAGTGGTAGAGATTGACCTACTTAGCATCCAGAAAATACTCCATCCCCTTTTGAAAGCCTATGAAAGCATCAGAATTTCTTTGTATAAATACAGGCACAGGCTCAAAACGCGTTGTGATAGAATAAACACTGAATGCTTATTTCCACCTTCTTCTATCTTCAGAAAGAAAGAATGTAAGTTCTTTCTACAGAGCAAGTAGATGTTGTCTTGATGTTTGAAAAGCCTGTTTGCAAAGGCAGTTTAACATAGAATCAGATCCTGGATACTCAGGACTTTCAGTTTTAGTGTATTTGCCTTCCAGCTTTCTGCTTACTGTGAAATAGCATTAAATACAAACCCAGAAAATCTGTAATAATTTTTTAGATCCTGATAAGCGTGGATGTCCCCTTAAATGACTGGCACAGAACCAGAGAAAAATATTAATTTAATATGTCTGTGTCTCCACTGGCAAATTTTTTAAAGCTTGTCATAGTTGGTTTTACATTGCCCTTGTTTGTACTATCATTTGTGTCTGGTTTGAATTTTGATAATTTCTGACAACATGCAGTCGCATAGCCTGATTACATACACTGGATGTTTTGTATTCTGCATTGCATTATAATCTAATCAGGTTAAAGTGGTAAAGATTTACTAATGGGAACACTCAGTTGCCCTAGATTTTGTCTTAAATTTGTAAAGTTATTTTACTTTAAAAGTTGGTCCACTTTAATATCATTTAATCTGGGATGTTAAAGGACAAAAATAGCCTGTTACTTTCAATTGATTATTCTAAATTAGAAGGAATTTTTGCTGAAGCAAACTCAGTAAAATCATTATTCAAATGCCTAATTTCTGCTCATATTTATCCATTTTCCCACAATGAACATAATGATAGAAAAGAAAACGTATTCCAGGAATTCCGAGATAGTGTAGTATAAACAAAATATAAATAACTCATAACTAAACTGAAAATTAAATTTCAGTCACTGTTGACCTGTACTTCCCCCAGCTTCCAAAAGCCAGTGTGAAAGGATTCACTGCAGTGGAAAATCATCTTAACACAAAATGTGAAAGTACAAGCTATTTGATTAGAATTCAGTTGGCAGCACAATATCCAACATGTCACAGGGTTGGGAAATTTTTGCAATATGACGATAATTTGATATCAGCCTCGCTGCAGCTTTTCCCAGCTGGATTGCCTGACTGAATTTAAAACCTGACCTCGGCTAATGCTCCTGCCCTGAGCAATGACAGTGCACAGGCCATCAGTGTTCTTGACCCTATCAGGTCCTATTCACAGGTGGCTTACCTGATCTCTGGTGGTGTGCATTACTGTATACCATTTCCCAGCTACACCATCTTCCAGCTAGCTTCCACCTGATCTTCTGCAGTGCCTCACCTATGACAAACAGCACTCCTTTCCCTTCTCAAGGGAAAGCGTGCCTTGGTACTTGGCCAAATCCCGCTTACAAGAAGTGTGCTAAATACTTCTTTGAAATCATCCCCGTTACTGGAAACCAACTCACTTTTATAGCAGCAGCAAGGCTGACTCTCAGGCGGCTGCTGCAAATCACCTGATTACAGAGAAGCCAGTAGGCACTGGCAGAAGGGGGTTTGGCTCTGCACGTCAGTTCTGTGTAGCTCTCTGCCTCCCGGGACGCGGCGGCGGGGACTCCGTGTGCGCTGTGCACCCCCCCGCGGCACCGGCAGCGAACGGTGCATCACGGGCCATCCCGGGCTTTGGATGCTGCCGAACTCCGCTCAGGGCTGCTCCTCTGAGACCACGGGGATCCCGCGCCCCCGCTGCCGGATGCACAACCGCACTGCAAAGGCAGCCGCTCCTGAGCATCAGCCGGAGAGGCTGCCGAGAGGTCTCCAGGCTAATGAGCAGGAAGAGTGCATAATCGGAGGCGCAGAATAAGCAGCTAGAGCATCTGGGCTGTGACCTTACAGGCCTTGAAGCTAAGAATGGTCAAGCCCTGACCCTTGCTAAGTCCCAGAGTAGTCTAAGTAAGGAGGAGCAATATTTTAGCAGATATAAAAGACACTTGACTCACATAGCCCCCCAAAATTGTTTTGTGTTATTAACAGTCACATTTTTCACTTGCATACAGCAATGTGCTTTATGCAGAAATAACAGAAGTGCCTTACATATTTTAACAGAACATAACCTTTTTTTTCCCCCACATGCTGACCTAATTGGCCAGGGACCCTTTTCAGAACAGATGTTCTGCTTCATTTCCTGTTTTTAAAGTGCTTAATATGTTGCTGTAATAATTGAATCCTTATTTGGGACTTACAGCTATATCATGAAAAATATGTCTGTTAGAAACAAACAATCTAGTGGGATGGGTGGTACACGTGTTGTGAACAACAAAAGGGGAGCTTCTTAACAAAGCTATTAATGTACTCAAGCAAAGTTGTTTAGCTCATTATAAATATCTTTGGAATAGATGAGAGAGATTTTTAAAAATGCTTACGTGCTCAATAGCTCTGTGTACACATTACTCAGAGGTACCTCCACACTGAATAAGAAAGTAAACTAATTAAGTTAGAAGTTAACATTTCTTAGATATGAGTTTGCTAGATTTTGCTGTTATGACAAACTCCTTTCTGAGCTTCCTACTTTGTTCTGAAAAGGAAACAAAATGATTCTTGAAAAGTTAGAAGCTAAAGTGGGATTAATTCATTCATTTTGTTAATTCATGCATTAAGTAAGGTAGGACAACTTAAAAGCTAGTTGTAATACACACAGACTGCTCTACCGTTGCCTCTTCAGTTTGAATGCTCATAACTGTGTGAGTGGGGTCTTCTCACACAGCTTATTGGAGCAGAGCTGACTAGAAGGACAGACTCCTTTTCCCTAAAACTGACACCTCAGTAGAGCAATGGTGCATATGGAACAACCACTCAACAATGCTTTTGGCTTCTAAGTATAAGGAGGTGTTATTATAAGTAAGAATGGGCTGTGAAGGCCTCTTTTGAGAAAAAAAAATCCTACTGGATGAAATTTACAGCTTACTTTCAACGACAAATCTGTGAGTTGAAAGATCTTTTCTGAAATCTTCAATAAGAACTGCTATTATACTTCGTCCTTGCATATTCCAAGTTGCTACATAAATACTAACAAACTATTGCTATAGCATCCTCACAAAACCTTGTCTGGACTCTTTTTAACTCTCATATTATAAGATAGAAATTAAGAAGGTGAAGAAGTTGAAAGGCAAAAACCTGTCTCCATGGGTCTCTGTAATCCAAAGATATTGAGGGTTGCTGAGCAGCCAAAAGAAGGTGCAGGCCTGAAGCAGGATGTTCAGAGCTGGGATTAAAGGCAACACTTTCTTTTCTAGGGAAAATTTGGAGCTAAGGACAGGCCACAAGGAATTTAATCTCTGACTAAGCACATCAGAGGCCCCGGTGGCCACACCTGGTACAGCAAAGTGCCCTTTATACCTTACAGCAAGCTAAACACTTCCAGCTTCCATCGGGAAGACACCTGTATGTGACTGTCATGCTTTATGGGATCCTACAGTTTTAACTTATTATACAAATTGACAGAAAAATAGTCTCTGCAGTTAAACTAATTATGAAGGCAATCAGAGGTGGTATCAGACACCTCATATTTCTGTTTCTCTGCAGTTACCTCTTGCTCTCTCCATAGCACAATACAGTGAACAAGAATTCAGTTAACTGTTTTTTTTTCTGGTATTCATGCCCTCCCTCTCAACTCTCCCCTTTAGAACTTCACTGAGAAGTATTGCAGAAGGAGAAAAGAGGATTGGGATAGAGGTGAAGAAGGGAAAACTACTAATAAGAGATACCCTCTTACTATAGCAGTCTATTTAACTGTATATAATTGGCACCCCTATGCATAGCACAGAGTGCATCATGTTATTCCTCTACATTTTGCAGGTTCTGAGTTTTAAAATGGGTAAAATACCCCCTACGATAACTGACAATAAAAAGGTTCAGACAGCAACAATAAATTTTATCAAATCTCAGTCACCATACAATTTTTTTCTGTACGTAAAGGTACCATTTAAGCTCCTAAATAACTAACATAAAAAATACTACAGGACAAGTCTAAAATATTAGCTATCTCAGTATCAAAAAATTTGGAATTTAGAATGTCTGAATGAGGCTGTCTGTCCATAACAAAATATGCTGGCTTTAAACTGAAAGTGGATAGATTTAGATATAAGGAATTAATTCTTCATTATGAAATCAGTGAGGCACTGGAACAGGTTGCCCAGAAAAGCTGTGGAAGTGCTCAAGGCCAGATTGGATGGAGCTTTGAGCAACTTGGAAGGTGTCCTGCCTATAGCAGGGAGGTTGTAATTAGATGGTTTTTAAAGGTCCTTTCCAACTCAAACTATTCTGTGATTCTATGATTTTACTACACCTCTCCAAGTTGAGAAGAGCATACACCAAAAAAATGAACATGATAATTGGACCAGCATCAGGTTGCACTTTTTAAAGACTGTCACAGTAGATCCCACAGGAATCACAAATCAACTCTGTAGTTTTCTTGTATGTTGGCCAGTCTTCGCGAACGAAGATCCGGGGAAGGTCTTTACACCTTCCAGCCTGCGCATTGGATTTTTTAGGTGAGACACAGTGTGCGCGGAACTGAGCCCACCCTTTAATCCTAAGGTTTGTCTGCCGGGGCCAAGAGAGGTTGGACGGTGGCAGCGAGGTCCTCAGGACATAGATGGCAGATGCCCTGTAGAAACCACAAGTCTCTCCAATCAGAAAATGCAGCAGAAAAGAAATAGCACCTTGCCCTCCATTGCATCCTGATAACCTGTGTATTATAATGCACCCTAAATTTCAATATGGTGTTGAAATGCTGTATTTCAGACATCTGTTTTCCACTTCACTGTAAACAGGGAAGCCAGAAATGGCAGCAGCCCTCTCCCTGCGCTGCATCAGTGTTTATTTACGTTTCTGGAAGAGCTCTTTTTATGGGTATCTGGGAAGCCTGAAGGTGGATACAATCTACACGCCGAGATTAGTCGTTTGTTAGCCGAAGCCACCTTTGCAAAGTGTAACCGAAGGCCCCCCATTGTGCCCTGCTGCCCAAAGGGGTTGCTCTGAGAAACAGTATTCCTTCCTTCCTTCTCTCTTTGCCCATGTCCCCGCTAGCTGGGCTGCCCCCGGCAACGCGGGGCTAGAGGGGCCCTGCGGGGCCCGGGCCGGTAACAAAGAGCCCGGCTTGGGGCTGCCCCGGGGGCGGATTTACATCAACGATTTCACCAGCAACTCGGTGATGGCAAATCTTCCCCTTGTCCTGGCGGGGGAGCCAAACGCCATCGATCTGTAGCCGGGAAGGTTGTTGGATTTTTTTTTTTTTTCGGCTGTTGTTGCTGCTGGGTTTATTGTTGGGGAAGTGGGAGGCTCATTTGCGAGCTGGTTGCCCAGCCGCAGGCCACGGCTCTCCCCAGACATCCCTCCAAATGCACTCCCGCTAAAGACCGGATATTTTTTGGAGGATCTCCCTCGGCACTCCGCACACGCACCCCTTTTCCCCCCTAAATTCACGGCAATGGTGAGCGGCGTACCTCTCCCCTATCCTCCTTTTCCCGTGAGATGCTTTTCCACGCCACGCGGGGCGGGTGTTCGCCACCTGAGGCCCCGGTCCCGAGCCGCTCCCCACGCACCCTGTCTGTCTGTCTCCCCGTGCAGAGCTCCGGCAACGCGTCCTACCGATGCTCCATGTCGTCCTCCGCCGATTTCTCCGATGAGGAGGACTTCAGCCAGAGGTCGGGGACAGTGTCGCCGGCGCCGGGGGACACGCTGCCCTGGAACCTGCCCAAACACGAGCGGTCCAAGCGGAAGATTCAGGGCGGCTCCGTGCTGGACCCCGCCGAGCGGGCCGTGCTGCGCATCGCCGGTAAGGCGCGGCCGGGGGCGGACGGGCAAGGGGGCGGCCGGGGGGCAGAGGGACCCCCGTCCCTTTCCTTTCAGAGCGCGGCCCCGCCGGGCGGTGACTAAGCTCTTTGGCCGCGTTTTCCGGCTGGGTGAACTGATGCGTGTAGAGGGCGAGCCGAAACACGCGCAGGTGCTCCCATTAAACTTTCATGCGAAAACACATCAGTGGCCGGGGGCTGCAACCGCAGAGGGGGTCGGCTCAGCTGGTGCCGGTGCTTCCTCCGGCCCGTAAGGCCGAGGGATCACCGGGCCGCCCTGCGGAGAAGCGGCGCTGGACCGCCCGCAGGGCGGAGAGGCCGCGCCGGCGGCGGCCGATGATGCTTCTGGCGGTCGGGGGACCAGGCGCCGGTCTTTGTCCGCTTGGGGCCGAGGCTGCGCCCAGGGGAAACCGGGACCAGACCGGTGTGTCGGAGATGCCGGCGGGCGCCGGTCCACGGCCTGGCGACAAATGTTGTCGAAAATAGGGCGGAGGTCCGCTTCTCCCTGGCGAGAGCTGGAAAATGCCTGTAAATGAATCCCAGAAAGATGCGGCGGGCGCCGGTGCTCCCCGGGAACACCGCTGTTGTTCCCCCCAGCCACCCCCCTTTTGTGTGCGCCTCCGTGGGTCCCTTCTCGGGACACCATTTCCCAGGGCAACCCATCTTAGCGGCGCTGTTAGCGGGGACAGCGGGCGCGCTGCGCAGCCAGGCTCCCCCCAGCCGCAGGATGCAGCCACGAGTGGGTGGGGGGGGAAGCTGCGAAGCCGGTCCAGCCCAGCCCAGCGGGCAGGGTGCGCAGGGCGGGGGACCCGGCGGGCCGGGCCCAGGGACCGCTCCGGGGCGGGGTCAGGGCCGGGGGGCGCCGGGGGCGCGGCCGGGGGCGGGGGAGCGGCGGTGGCACCTGCGACCCGGCCGATCCCCCGACTCCGCCAGGATAGCGGGGGTTCCTGCCTCGCCTGATTGCAGGCGCCGGGGCTCCTGCTCAGTCCCTGCCCGCGAGTCCCCGGCGGTGTCCGTCGCGCTGCGGCCCCTCAGCGCCAGCGCCGCAGGGTGACAGTGTCCCCGCCGGCCCCCTCAGTGCCTCGGGTGCCGCGCCCCAGCTCCGGCGGCCGCCGCCCTTCTCGTCCCGCGGGAGGCCGGGGCAAAAGCACGGGGGGCGGGTGGGAGGTGGCGAGAGCTCGCTGGCCCCGAAGGCGGTGCCTCGGCGATGGGGCTGGAGCCGAGGTCTGCGGCTGAGGCGGCCTCTCGGAGCGCAGAGAGGGGCGGCCACCGAAACCGGAGCGGCCGGGGGGCGTTTCCTCGGCCGGGTTGGCAGCGCCGCCCCCCGCCCGCCTCCCTCTCGCTGCCGCCGGGGTTTTTCTTGTGCCGTCCCTGGGGCTACCGGGCCGTCCGGAGCCGCACAGGCGGGCGGCAGGGCTGGGCTGGGCTGGGCTGGGCTGGGCTAGCTGCCGGCCATGGCTGGCTACCTCTCCCCCGGCGCGTACTTCTATGCCGAGGAGCAGGAGTACCTGCAAGCCTACGAAGATGTCTTGGAGAGATACAAAGGTAGGGCAGCGCTCCCCGTGCCACCGCAGCCGCCCGGGTGGCAGCTCGCCCCGCCGGGTGTGGCGGCTGCGGACTCAGGAGGCTCCGGCGCTGGCGATATGTCCCCACATTGGTGGCCCCGCGTTGGGTTGATCTAGGGGGCGGCGGACGTGGGCGGCTTCTGCGATAAATCGAAATACCGTGTCACCTCGCTAGTGGGTGACACACTCTCTCGTGTGTTTAAAAGTCTGTTTTTCAAGTGCAGTGCGGGCATAGGGGTTTGCGTCTCGATGTGCAGTCGTATTTAAAGCTTCGGTTTATTTTTACCTTTTTATTTATTTATTTATTTATTTACATTTTTTTGGTGGTCGGGGAAAGAATGAGCTTAGTTCCTGTAGCACCTGAGTTTTCTCATCAAATACAGAAAAATAGGGAAAAAAACACGTTTATTGTGGCAGTGATACAGATAAATTCATCTTGCTTGAAATATAAATTACATTGATTTATTAAATGCATCAGAATGGAAGGAGTGGTTTGGATGATTCATTGCTGTTTTTCAATACATTTGCTAGTATTAAATCTGAAAAAGCTTATAGAAAGTATTACAGGACTGATTTTAATCCAAGTGCAAAAGGGATGGAGTCAACTGTTTAGATTGAACCTTCATCCTTGAAATAGTCTTTACAGCGTGTCACAGCATATGCTGATATTTGCAGTGCTGAGTCCTATTTTAATGTTAGAGAATGAGATAGGTTAGGTTTCATATCTGATTTTTTTCAGCTGCATGTTTCCAGTCAGTTCTGAAGATTTTTGTTAAATGATTTCCACTGATGGGAATGGGAGTGGCATAGTTTAAGACAGCTTGATTTGAAGATACTGATAACTGATTTTATTTATTCTAGGTTGCTAGTGGTAATATTTTGAAAAATAATCAAAATAACAAATGGTTATTTTGACTATGAGAACTTGCCAGGTCTGAGTCTACTTTATACCGATATCACTTGCAATTTCATGTGTCATTAACAGTATTGACTAATGACTCCTTTGTGTCTGTTGCCCCTTGTGTCAGTGCAGCTATGGAGCATGTGCACTGTTTCTGTACTGAAATGCATTAGTACATTTTAGTTGAGAGAAATAATTACCATTTGTTGATTACCATCATCTTCAAAAGAACATCTTTATTCCATTCTCCCCTATTTTTTAAGTTATCAATTTATATGTGGCTGAACTGATTTTTGGAGATTTTAGAGCTAATGGACTGTTTATTTTGTAAATAAACACTGAAAAAACTTTGTTTTTCTGTTCTAATTCTAACCCAAAGCACTGCTATTATGCTTTGGATTACCTTTGATTTCTTGCTAGAATCGGGTTTAGTAAAGTTCATACAAGTTTGTCTACTTGCTTAAAAACCTGGGAAGGAGATTAAGCCTCATTTCCCTGATTTCAAAGGGAGCTTTATCAGGAAAAGGGCTGAAAGATTTAGTTTTCACGTGTTAGGGAACAGAAGGATTTTAATTAAACTCCAAAACCTAATTTGCATATCTATAAGAAATAAGCACATTCTGAAAGTATTTGAGTATATAATATTGTGGAGGTAACACTGAGTCCATTCACACGCTATTTTCCAGGACAGCCAAATCCTGAAATTACTCGGAAAGATCTGTTTCTGTTGTCTTAGTTTTCAGTGTCGTATTTAGTATATTGGTATGCTGTGTGTTGCTACTCAAGGTATACTTTATTCAGCCATTTGGAACAGAGGTAAAGATTTGGACTTGTTTTAATTAAGATACATTTGAAACCTGGAAAACACATTATTTTTTAAAATGTGTTTCCAAGCCAGTCATGATTTCCCATTTGAGTCCCAGTAGTATGACTTCACTACAGTGATTGTTGTGCTGATGACTTGCCATGGGAGCTGATCTAATCAGAAAAGAATTGCTACAATATAGGCTTTGAAGAGGGAGTGCCATTTCTCCTAATTTCTCATTTTTGTTAACATCTCCTTTAGTAACTTTCTTTGTCAAATGCAAATCATTTTGACTTTATAAAATGAGCTCCAATCTATAAGTGTAATGCTGATAGTTCTTCTTTCTTTTTTTTTTTTTCCCCTTTTTACAGTCTGCAGAACACTTTCAGACTCATCTAGGGCATTATCAGGGTGCCAGATTATCTATGGCCCAGCTGTTGAGTACTGTAACTAGCAGAGTCAGCTGTACAAAATTCATTGCCTGTCTTGGAAGGCTTGGGATTGTATGATGCTGCATCATGAAGATGTTGATTTAGGAAGAGAAAAGCTGCCCTTTTTAAATGTAGAAAAGTGAAATTTTACTTTTCATCCTTTTCTGCAGCCAAAGTAGGCTGAAATCTTGAAGACGTTGTAATACTAAGTACCTTGTTGCTTTAACAGTTGAAGGCAGGATATTTGTGTGTCTTGAAATTCTGTCTGCTTATCGTATGACAGTAAATAATTAGGCAACTGTTTGCTAAATCTGAGATAGCACAGAAGCGCTGTTTGATATGGAAGAAGAGAGTGTTATTTTCTGATTCCTGGTCCGCTCAGTTGCTGGTTGTCGGTTTTTAAAATTTATTTATTTATTTATAATTAATTCATGTAGTAAATATTTGACTGTATTTCTGAAGCATTTTGGTGGAGAAAAGAAGTTGTATTATCTCTGATTTAGAAATCCTGTTGAATCAAGATACTTATTCAGGGGAAAAAAAAAGCTTCTTTATTGTTAGCACCTTGAAGCATTCAAAGGAAAAGCCTTTATTGTGAGAATGGCAATAAAACATCTAGTGACATATGTTAAACACTTCAGATAAACTACTTATCTTGTTTGTGACTGAATAGGAATATATTAATATAACTTAAAGTTCGATTTTACCTCAAACTGTATTTGACTCTAGAAGGTTGTAAAGAACTTAATTTACAAAGCAGCAAGAATAACTATCTCAGCATTGCCTGAGAACAAAATTAATAAAATTGTTAGCTGCAGCCTTCTTGATAAGTAAGAAAATGTCCAGTAGTATTTCATATACATTTAATTGTTAAAACATGAAATGCCACCTCTATTCAATGTACTGTTCCAAACCATCATTATTTGAGCATTAAATATTTTAAGATCACCATTTTAAGCTGTAAATGCAGTACTTTAATTGGATTTCCTCTGCTCTAAATCTGAAGTAAAACACTAGCAATCAACATATATATCATCCCTCTGAAATTGTTTTCATTCCTCTGAAATGTCAATAAAACTTCTTAATATATTTTTCGGTTGAGGTAGTAAACATTTATTTGAATAGCAATTGGAACAATCTTCTTTTGCTGCAAGATTTTGAACAATTACGTAACTAAGTTGTCTCCTTTGACATAATTTTTGATATGGGCACATATTTTAATGAACGTGTGCTTGTGGTATCTGAAGAAGAGCTAATTCATGGAGTTAAATGTTGAGTTAAT